TGGCCTCCAACCTAGGAGCGATGGCCTCCAACCTAGGAGCGATGGCCTCCAACCTAATAGCGATGGCCTCCAACCTAATAGCGATGGCCTCCAACCTTAGTGAGAGAAAGCAACCACAAAGGCACAGCAGTCAACCACGATGCAACTGAACCAGCCCACCCTGCCAAAGACAGGACCATGTGCATGTAGGGGCCCGGTAGAAGTAGAAAGGAACATCTATATAAGCGGTTCAAAGTCGTCCAGAGGAATTTCAATTTATGTAGATAAAGATTTAAGTGGCTTGAAGGAAAGTCTGGACTAAAAAGTTTGGAATTTGAACTCTGCGATCCAGTCATTTAGGAATGGAGAGAAGGTGAGGAAATCGGTTTATGTTCAGTACACTGTTCTCTGTTGGCCGTGTTTTTTGGCAAACCCCTGCTGGTTTCTTTCAGGTTGCTACAAATCAGCCGCACAGGATCAAAGCCCTGGTGCGAAAGAGGTGGAAAAATCAACTCCAAGGACCAAGGATCTTTTCGACCGCCGGATTGGGTGGCAGCACATTTTTGACGTTGTAGCCGTGCTCGGTGAGGAATTTCTGCAACCGCAGTGCTGTCTTTCGATGGGAAAGCAGACTTGATGGGAAAATTAAAATGGTACCTCTTCAATGTTCTGGCCACAAACTGAGCTCTTGAGGCATGGATTTACCCATCCCAAGATGAAAAGTTTGGTGGCCAAAAGGATGTCTCCAAATGGGGGATGCCCACACCACTGAACAGCAGGCAAGACACACAAGAAACATCAGTTGGCAATCAAGGTGTCCAAACTCAGAAACTATGATTTGATCCACAAACTCGATGCAAGTTCTGAGGGTCAAATTCAGCTTCCCTCACCAATGCGAAACTCGATATATCATTCCAACTTCCAACCACCCCACCCAATTCCCGTACGTCCCGTACTCTCATCTCCTGCACATCTCGCTGGATGTCCTGCTTCGCCTTGGTAATCTCTGCCTTCTTCTGGTCGATCTTTTCCGCGATGTTGTCCCGCTTCACGCAAGTGTAGTCCATCTGATTGACCGATTGCGCGATCAGACTCATGGTCCCCAGGATCGACGCGATGTTCGCGGCACAGTTGGCAGGCAAGTTCAGCGAGTGGGCACATTGGGTCAGACTATCTGCCACAAGGCCGATGAAGAGCAGATCGTTCACCACGTTCAGCAAAATGAAGTTGGCACAATGCTGTTCCGCCTCCTGAGTTCGTCAAAGTCACGACTTGATCATTTGGGGAATAGAAATCAGTTGGTGGCTTCCCTTCTGCCTTGATGGAAATTATATGCATCTTCGCAAGTGCAAGCCAGAACTTCAGCACATCCCCCTGGGTGCATGTGGGGAAGGTACCCACCCTTCAAACTGCTTCTGAATCGAATGACATCCCGGCCGTTCAACTTCAATCCGGCTCCTTGTCGACGACGCCTCCCCGCCGGCGAATTCGGTCGTAGTCACAGACCTCACTCGCGACAGGGATAATGAGGCCCATCAGGTTGATTCGCGCCACCATCTGACCTGAGATGTCTGGAACTGCAAAATCACACTCATCTGAAAACCACCAAGCAGACACAAGCGGGCGGGCCATGTGACACCCCCATGCATCCAATGCCCGCGTTCGATCGGATCTTGCACCAGCCTGTTCATTCCGAACCGACGAAGCTCCGAGCAACCCACCAGAAAAGACGACACGGCGAGCGCGAATGTTCTCCCAGCGACTGATGTCAATCACGCACAACACGTCCACTGCACCCTCACTCACGTGTGCCAGACCCAGCAGCGGCAGCGTGCCATCCCCGGCAACCGCCGAAGGTGGCAGCACCACTGCGCCTGAGCGACGACACACTGAGCGACACAGAAACCATCAGACCTGGCCTCACCTCACCCATCCGCAAGTCTAGCGAAGACCCATTTTTTGCGCATGCAACCTTCAGAGGACAGAGCATTTCCCTTGAGAATGTCAACAAAATCTTCCAGCGGACACGCATCCCCTTGATCTGTTTGCAGAATCCAGCGCTGGACCAATTGTCAGGTGAGTTGCGACAGAACAAGACCTATATCACCTATGAACTTATGCTTCTGCCAACAAAAGAGTGTGCTTATAGTCTAGTCTAGTGACCCGACATGTCCGAGCAAGTCTTCCCCCACCCCTCGCCCCACCCCGAACGCGGTCTGGACCACACGGGCCTCCCAAGACCTGTGGCTTTGTACGGGTCAGTAGCCCAGTCAGCGCCACCAGCGCAATGAGGAGCGCAAGCGCCAGAGGGAGGCGGCGCCGCCAAAGCGCTTCGCCCAGCTGGCCGGCAGGGGAGCTGGGTAGCTCCTGGCGACTTTTCACTGAGAGAGAGGAGAGAAGAGAGATAGTTGGGGATTGAAGGCGGAAACAAGGAGTTGAGGCTTGAAGGGAACCGGAAGTCACGGAAGGAGAGAACTTCAAGTACCTGAACTCAGTTTCTCCACTTCCGTCCGGACTTTGCAAGATCACTCCTACCAGGTGTCATTCAGAGAGTCGAGATTCTCCTCCCAAACTTCCAGTCCCGGACCCGTGACCCTCCAGGGCCAACCGCGGATTCGACGGGCGGGTTTCGACGAACTGAAAAAATGAACGACCGGGAAAGGACGGCGCAGTTGGTTTGAAATGGGCCCGGGTGGTCCTCGGTTGCGAGGATCAAAGTTTCGCTCGCCTCACAATCCTCCGCCTCAGCCAACGTGGAGAGGATAGTCGAGTCAGAGGGCCCTTCAACAAAATCTTTACATAAGATGACTAAGCTGAGGCCTTGGTAGATAAACAAGGTCAGCACTGTGGCAGGACAGGATGCGAAAGACATCGAAAGACTAACCTTGCTTTGAAAGATAGACCTGCGGCCGCCTGCGGCCCGAGGCCCAGCTCTGTTTCTGCTCTCAAGACTCGAGACTCTCACGGGAGCTCTTTCGGGGTGGGAGATCGAAGGTACTGGTCAACCTGGTCCCTGAGGCCCGGAACCTCCATTGCTGAGCCGGCCATGGACAGCGGGTCGCGAGCCGCGGGGTGTTTCAAGTGTCAAGCTTTGGGTGGAAGCTGCAGAAGTGCTTTGAGTGAGTTCAGCTTCAAAAGCTTCAGGGCCACTCTGTCGGACCCTCTCTCTGCGAGGTTTATGCCAATGCAAGTCGTCTGATTCGCTCTTTGGAACTCACCCGGTCAATTCCTGGGACCCAAAAATTCACCCGAATTGGGGAATCGACTCGTGCACCGAGTCGAGGGATCTTGGAAAGGGAACATGACCGCGATAGTCTGAAGCATTTGATGCTGTGCAGGGCTTCTCGTTGGACCCACCAGGGAACCCGCTTTCGGGGTTGCTCCGTGAACCTCTCAGTAAAGCCACACGTGCACAACCTTCCTCATCCTAGCAACCTTCCTCCTTTCACTGCAAGTGTTCTGAGAGCTTATCACAGCCTTCCACTGCCTTTCCCATCGATTCGCGACCTTTTTGACTTAGCTCGCTGGCTGCATCGGCTGCTTCTGGTGTCGCACAACTTTGGGGCCCGCCCTGCCATGTGCACAAGAATTGGATGGGATGGCCCTATTAAATCCTTCCTGAGGTAGCCACGGGCCCAGGTCTTTCCAGTTAGTGTGGCTGAGTCGGCTGATCCCTGGGAGTAGTGTCATCCGCTTTGTTTTGCAATGGAGTTCCGGCATGCTGGGTGCATACAGCTGTCATTGCTGCTTCCTTCCGCTGCTCGAGCGGATTGCCTGGGAATTCTGCGGTGGCATGTGGCAGTTTCGTCCTACCACTGCCTCGCTGCAAGAATTGGAGACCTACACGAAAGGGTTGGCAACCTACATGTTTGCAAGCTGCAGTGCTTCAGTTCACTACGGCAACACGCAAAAGGGTTGGCAACCTACATGTTTGCAAGCTGCAGTGCTTCAGTTCACTACGGCATCACGCAAAACGGTTGGCGACCTACATGTTTGCAAGCTGCAGTGCTTCAGTTCACTACGGCATCACGCAAAAGGGTTGGCGACCTACTTGTTTGGAAGCTGCAGTGCTTCAGTTCACTATGTATCACTGCGCAAGGGTTGGTGATCTTCATGTTTGCAAGCTGGCAGCGCTTCACTTCATGAGGGCATCAACAGGTTGGTGACTTACATGTTTGCTATAGGAGTTGTGTCCACACTACAGCAGGGAAGTGGTGGACTATATGCTTGCCATGTCTCCAGCTGTTCGATCTTCAATATGTTTTGAAAAACAGGGCCCGCAACTAGTGGCAGGAGCCGGCTCAAAACCTGTGAGCATTGTCCTGGGGGCGCCAAACAGCGAGGTCCGGTTGCTCACACCTCGTGGCCCTACAGTGCACATTCGTACGCGACAATGTCTGGGTTGTAGGGTTGCACTGACCGTGTTTTTGCCCAGCATGGGAAAGCTTTATGTACAGCAACCGCTTTCTCGCTTTGTTGATTCTGACACTAGAATCTACATCCTTTTACCTCAGCCGAGATTGGCATTATCAATCAAGGTAGTGCCAGCCGCTGGCTTGTTAATGAGCTTTGGGCATGTCTGACATGTGACTTGCCTACTTTGCCGGGACCTCGGGCCCATGCCTGTGGTGTACAGTGGAAGGCGGGTGGGTGGATGCCTCACACCCCTCTTTGAGCCTGTGCAATGCAGCTGGAGCCGACTTGAGCCGCCTTGCGGCCGGACACGCTGCACGCGGCGCCGCTTGCGCTGCGCCCGTGCGACCGAACGTCAGAGATAAATCCTTCCTGAGGTAGTCTTCCATCGAAAACCTACTGTAAGAATCGGTAGAAAGGACCGTGGAAAAGGCATCCGGACACCTAGTTCTACACTGGCATTGAAACTGATCACCCGTGACACCATGACTTGCACTTTTGACTTGCACTCCACCAAACCGCTGGGCATCCTTTCAACTGCTCTTCTGCTGTGGTGCCACCCATGTCATCCTCTTCAAAAATCGATGTCAATTGACCCCTCATTCCTTGGGCCCCGGCGCCACTTGCCTGGCGGGTGTTATCGAGCTGGCTTGCCCCGAGAAACATCGGCAACCCCATTGCTTCACCTGGCGCCCCTGATGCACTTGGCAGTGCCAGTCTTCTTTCTTCCAAAAAGAAGAATGAGGACACCCTCTTTGATTGGGAACGTGATCATTCTGGATATGACAGCTCTTGGCGAACTTGTAGCTACATAGTGTCGAAGTCGTTGATCCGTTGAGGCAACGACACTGTTGAATCGTTCCCGACCCTTGAATCCACCAAGCGTTCTTCACACGGCCAATATGGTGCATCCACTCGACTGTTCCTCTTCCCCTTGCCCCAGGCCCCTAGAACCTCCTATCACCTTCCTTCACCCCCGGATGCTTCCAAAACCTAGACGCTCTGCTCTTTTCATTCCGAACGTCTTCGTATCACCGCGCCACCACGTCCCTTCCTCGTCCCAGCGCCTTTGGCTCGTCACGTCCGCCTCCAAGTTGATCAACCGCCGGGCCTGAGACGAGGGGCTGACCGGTGCTCGACCGGTTCCGGTGAACACCTGATGGAACAAGCCATGATCCTCAGCCTCACATCCTATCTGGAGCCACACATATTTAAGCCTAGACCAGTTATACCCGTCTGTGATTTCGTGAGCTGTCGCACTTGATCCAGCTCAAGAAAAAGCATGCATATTGGTGTGTAAATGAAGGAGAATGGATGGACAGCAGTACAAAGGAATCACAAAAGAAGTGTGGCATCTTACCCCCTGCAAGCAAGTCATATAAACCGGAAGTTCAGGGGTGCTTCAATTACACTAGGATGATAAACTCTGCACACCGTTCGTGTGGGATAGCTGCCTACAGTCTTCCCCGTGCCTTTTGCTCGCCAGGGCCCCCAGCAGCCCCTGCCAGCGCAGCACGAAACTTCACATTCTCCTCCTGGCTAACGCAGTAGGAGCCAAAGTGCGGGGTCGAAAGATCTAAAGCCGTCCCATTAGTGGCCGACTGGCAAAGAACTGTTATATAAATCATGGATGCCCATAGAAGGCTTCGGATAATCAAGGAGCGGAAAGCCAGGAATTCTGCGGCAGAAGTACACCTAAGTCATTCCAAGTCCTGTCTTGAATCGATTGAATCGGGCCCAAGTCACTGATGGAGGAGTTGGAAAGTTCCTGAATACGACTTGATTTAAATGCGACAGCATGGGGCAGGGTGGGGCTCCTCATGTTGAGACTCAGGCATGTCACATTGATCGTCAATCAAGGATGGTTGTTGCTATAGTGTTCCATTGTTGCTAGACAATGTGGAGTGCTGGGGCTGCTAGGCTTGAGGGTGTGGTCATTTTTTCCAAAAAAGCTTGGACTGCTAGGGCA